CCGAGGCCTGTTCTCCTGGGCGCACGCATTCTTGGAAAACCCTCCAATAACAACTATAGAAGTAATCATGCTTGCAGTTAGTATTTGCTGAAAAGAACAAAGTCATAGTTACTTTTTTATTCTAAAAATGCTTGTCTAACATTTCTAAGTGTGTTTGAAGCTAAACTTGTTTGCCATCTCCTGTCTCTCAGTTTTCCTTTCTTTGCTGGTGGGACAGCCACAGTAACAATTTCAGGTAAGGATGAACAACAAAAACAACAAAAATTACCACGTATGCAAAGAGGAGAAAAATGAGAAAAATCAATCAAAACCAATTAAACACACACACTGTAAGGCCGCGTTTCGAGGGGAGGCCCCGAAGGCAGTCTGTCTGACCTCACAGGGTCCCAGCAGCTTTCCCTGCTTCCCAGGGCTGCGCGGTGGGTCCTGCAGAGGCAGGGAGCCGCGGGCGGAGGAAGCCACAGAGCACTGCCGGAGAAAGGGAGAGTGTGAGCTGCTCAGAACTGAGAGGTCGCGGGCGGAAAGTGGTGAGAGAGGAGGTCGAGAGTGGTCCGTGGCGGCCAGCGCTGGGAGCGTGTGAAGGGGCAGAGAAGTAGGCTGCGGAGGAAGTCCATGTAGGGCAGTGGTTTCTCAGTCTGTCGCAGGGACTTGCGGTTCAGTGAGCGGCGCTGGCAGGTCCATAAATAACGAAAATAGCTGCAGCAGGAATTGCAGAGGCCCTGGGGGCAAGAAGGCGATTTTCTTTATTTGCCACAATTAAAGGCAACTGAGCTCATTTCCCTCTGCTGCCAGGAAGATCTTGCAATGCAAGTGCTCAGGCCCCATGGTTCCTTCACCCTGGGGTAGCAGCACCCTCATTCAAAATTCTTCCCTCTCAGACCCTTGTCTCTGGGTGTTCACTGGCGTCCTCAGGGGGGCGGTAGAGGAGAGGGCGTGGGCACGGCCTCGCTGGCTGTCCTGACGGGTGGGTGAGCTGTGCCACCTCCCCAGCAGCCACCTCCCTGCTGCTCCGAGGGGCAGCCCTGACTGACAGCAGCACCCGTGTTCTGTGTGCACCAGCTCCCCCCAGCAGCCTGCACCCCACCGCAGTCCGGCGAGACTCATTGCGCTCTGAGCTTGGAGACTAGCGTAGCGAGTCCTGGACGAGGCCCCTGAGGCGGCCCTGGCCGAGGGTCCGGGTCTCCTCTCTCCAGACAGCAGCTGGGTGACGGCTGGGCCTGGGCACTTCCTTACAGAGCTCGTCCAGGCTGCCTGGTCAAACAAGACCCACTTACTGAGCTTGTCTGGACCTGCCTTGGGACCACTTCTTTTTGGCTTTGCCCCCTACTTGCTCATGTGGTCCATGCTGTTCTTGGCCGACTTTCCAGCCTCGTCCTCTTCCTGTCATTCTCGGGGGCTTGGAGCCACTGCTGCACCCAGAGGTGGGCCCGAGAGCCGGCACACAGCTGCTGAGTGCGGGCTCCGGGGCAGAGCCTGTGCCCAGGCACCAGGCCACGAGCTTCCTCGTGAAGCCAGCAGTGCTTCCGAGTGCCCTGCCACACGGGGCACACGGGACACACGGGCACACAGGGCACACGGGGCACACGGGGCACACGGGCACACGGGGCACACGGGGCACACGGGGCACAGGGGGCACACGGGCACACGGGGCACACGGGGCACATGGGGCACACGGGGCACACAAGCACACGGGGCACACGGGGCACATGGGGCACACAAGCACACAGGGCACACGGGGCACAGGGGGCACACAGGCACACAGGGCACACGGGGCACACGGGGCACATGGGGCACATGGGGCACACGGGGCACACGGGGCACAGGGGGCACATGGGGCACATGGGGCACACAAGTACACGGGGCACACGGGGCACAGGGGGCACATGGGGCACATGGGGCACACAAGCACACGGGGCACACGGGGCACACGGGCACACGGGGCACACGGGGCACATGGGCACACGGGCACAAGGGCACAGGGTGGGCTATTTCTCAGATCACTGGTCAGGATGCCCGGTCACTGGCTTTTCGTGGGCATTACCAGGTTTTCCTCCTCAAAGGGGCCGGTGCTCGGAGCAGCTTGACAGGTGAGAGACCGAACACCCGCGGGGCATGCCCGCTCTGCAGGACGGTGCCCGGCTGGCAGACCGTCCCGTCTTCCACACGGTGCGTCCTGGGTTAGGGCAGGGGGGAGGATGTGCTCCACCTGCTATCCCCCGGCTGCGGGTGCTGTCTGCTCCTCCCGTCCCTCCCGCTGTGTCTGCCGCCTTCATCCTGAGGCTGTGTCTGACACTGAGGCACACACTCAGAGCACCTGTGCGGCTCTGAGACCCAGCAGGCAGCCTCCACCCAGGGGAGCAAGGCCGCTGGATCCTGAGGTGCCAGGAAAGGGGGCAGGAAGAGAGGGGAGAGGGGAGAGGGGAGAGGGGACAGAGGAGAGGGAGAGGGAGAGAGGAGAGGGAGAGGAGAGAGGGGAGAGGGGAGAGGGAGAAGGGACAGGGGAGAGGGAGAGGGGAGAGGGGAGAGGGGACAGGGGACAAGGGACAGGGGAGAGGGAGAGGGGAGAGGTGAGGAGAGGGGACAGGGACAGGGACAGGGACAGGTGTAGAGTGGAGAGGGAGAGGAGATGAGGAAGGAAAAAGGGAGAGGGGATAGAGGGGGAGGGGCCAGGGTGACAGGGAGAGAGAGAAAGAGGAGAGGGCAGAAGGGAGAGGGGAGAGGGGAGAGGGGAGAGGGGACAGGGGACAGGGGACAGGGGCGAGGAGAGAGGAGACAGGGGACAGGGGACAGGGTAGAGTGGAGAGGGGAGAAGGGAGAGGAAAAAGGGGAGAGGGGATAGGGGAGAGGGGACAGGGGAAAGGGGAGAGAGGAAAGAGGAGAGGGGAGAAGGGAGAAGGGAGAGGGGAGAGGGGACAGGGGACAGGGGAGAGGAGAGAGGGGACAGGGGACAGGGAGAGGGACGGGAGAGGGAAGAGGACTGGGGAGAGAGGAGAAGGGAGGGGGGAGGGGGGTGGAGAGGGGTCAGGGGACAGGGGAGGGGGGAGAGGGGAGAGGGTGTGCACTCTGCAGCGGGGGAGGAAGCTGGGACTTCCGAGAGGAGAGTGGTTATAGGAGAGACGGAAAGGGAAGGTCCCCAACCCCATTCCCACTCGTGCATGTGTGAGATCCCCCCTAGTCCAGGTGCTGGGTAGGGAGCTTGGGGCAGGAGTGGGTGGGTGGTGCAGGACGGAAAGGGAAATAGAAGGAAAGTATAACTTCATTTCCACATGGTTGCACAAGTCAGTCTTTCTCTCTACTTGCAAAGTGTTAACAGCCTTCACTGCATGAGCATGAGCATGAGGGGGCGACCCGTTGGTGCTCCCCAGCGGGGGGCGCGGGCCTGGGCTGCAGCGTCAGCCACTGCCTGTTTCGGAGGCGGCGCTGAAGGAGCCAGGTGGCGTGGGGGGAGGGCTCCTGAGGGCCTGTGAGAACAGCTGCCTCAGCCTGGCTGCGCAGCGGACCCGGACCCTGGAGCTCCCAGCGCTGAGGTCATGCCTCAGATAGGGCTGATGTGGGCGCCCGAGGCCAGGTCTCCCCGGGCTGCCACTGCAGACAGGCTGGCAGAAGGAGCACCCTGAAGAGGTGTAGGGAGAGAGGGAATTCTGAGAACCTCATAGTATTTATTCACTGGCCTCCTCCTGAGCTTGTTCCCCTGAGAAGAGGACACCGTGAGCTCCAGAAGCAGATAAACACAGTGGGAAACTGTCCTGAGGCCAGGCCACAGGCATGGCGGCGGGAGGACTACTGGGCCTGCTCCTTCATGCAGGTGATGGGGTAGGGGAGGATGGGCAGGGAGATGCGGGAGGGTGGCAGGCTGAGCTACGGCAGGAAGGAGCCGCCATCCTTTACTCTGTGCCCTGGGAAGAGGGCCAGGAGCCCTCAAAGCAGGCGGGCTGCCGCTGCTTGCTGGCGCCGAGGCAGGAGGCAGTGGGGAGAGCAGGCCGGCTGCTCCTGGCCTTGGCCTTGGCCTTGGCCTTGGCCCGCTGCAGGGCGCAGTTCCCCCTACCCCCCAGCTGCATGGGATGTGAGGGGTGCCCCAGCCATTCACTGCATCTCTCTGAGTAAGAGCGCATTTGCTGTCAGTCCCTGGACTAAGTGGGTTTTAAGCTTAAAAGAAAGTCCATCTGGCCAACAAGCCGGACACTGGTGTCTGTAATGGTTATGGCTCCGGAGCGGGGTCTGTGAGCGCTGGTCCGCAGGCATTGCTCATTGGATCCTCACATGTCCGAGGTCCCAGCGAGGTCACAGCCAGCCGGAGAGGGCGGGCGGCAGTGTCCGCCTCCGGGACGCAGGCCTGGGCCTGACCGCTGGGAGGCAGCCCATCTCCAGGTCAAGGTGAGGAGTCCGGCGCTTCGGGCGGTCCCCCCACACCCCTGGTCCCGGCCCGCAGCCTCCCGGCGTCCCGGCGCCCGCGGCCGCGGGGCGGGAGGCGGGGCGGCGGCGGGAAGGGGCGAGGCTGGGGCGCCCGCCCGCTCCCTACTGGTCGCCGCCCTCGCAGTCTCCGCCCGCCCCGCCCCGCCTCCCGCCCAGGCCGGACCGGAGCCCCGCCCCGCGGGGGCCCGATCGCTCTGCCGGGCGGGATCGCTCTGCCGGGCCGGATCGCTCTGCCGGGCCCGATCGCTCTGCCGGGCCGGATCGCTCTGCCCGGCCGGGATCGCTCTGCCCGGCCGTGATCGCTCTGCCGGGCCCGATCGCTCTGCCGGGCCGGATCGCTCTGCCGGGCGGGATCGCTCTGCCGGGCGGGATCGCTCTGCCGGGCCGGATCGCTCTGCCGGGCCGGATCGCTCTGCCGGCCGGGATCGCTCTGCCGGGCCGGATCGCTCTGCCCGGCCGGATCGCTCTGCCGGGCCGGATCGCTCTGCCGGCCGGGATCGCTCTGCCGGGCGGGATCGCTCTGCCCGGCCGGATCGCTCTGCCCGGCCGGATCGCTCTGCCCGGCCGGATCGCTCTGCCGGGCCGGACGGCGGAGGGACCTGCCCCGCCGAGGGCGCCGCCGGGGATGTGACTGCCCCCAGCTCCGCTCCGGGGCCCGGGGGGCCGCGCCCAGGTCCGCGGGGCCGCCAGGTAGGAGAGGCGGGCGGCGGGCGTCCTTCCCGGCTCCCCGGTCTCAGCGGGGTGGGGGCGGCTGGTCGGGTGCCTGCGGTTTCCATCCCGTTCGAAGGGGGCCTGCTAAGGCTGTTTGGACCCCTGAAGGCGTGGCCTGCCGGTGGCTCTGGATGGCGGGTCTAGGTGTGTGCGCAGGTGGCGGCGCGCACGTGTGTGTGTGTGTGTGTGTGTGTGTGTGTGTGTGTGTGTGAGTGTGTGAGTGTGTGTGTGTGTATGTGTGTGGTGTGTGTGTGAGTGTGTGTGTGTGTGTGTGTGTGTGTGTGTGTTCGTGTGTGTAACCGGCCAGGTTCAGCGGGTTCAGGGTGTCCCTCTTAGGGTCGGGAGTTCACCCGTTGAGGGTTTAGGTCAGGAGGTCCGGCTCCCGGACAGGATTGGGGTGATGGCCGAGCACAGGGGGCGGCCGCTGTGGGGTCTCCGGGGACTCCAAGAGGACGCCCTTGGCCCAGGTGCGCCCAGCCCTTCAGTCTGTGTGGCCTTTTCGCAGTGCCAGACCCTCCCCGCAGCGCCGGACACTCCCCGCAGCCCGCTCACCCGCTCACCCGGGTCTGAGCGCGCGCCCAGCCCTCTCCCGGGCCCTCCCAGCCCTCTCCCGGGCCCTCCCAGCCCTCTCCCGGGGCCCGCCCAGCCCTCTCCCGGGCCCTCCCAGCCCCCTCCCAGCCCTCTCCCAACCCTCTCCCGGGGCCCTCCCAGCCCTCTCCGGGCCCTCCCAGCCCTCTCCCGGGCCCTCCCAGCCCTCTCCCGGGGCCCTCCCCGCCCTCTCCCGGGCCCTCCCAGCCCTCTCCCAGCCCTCTCCCGGGCCCTCCCAGCCCTCTCCGGGCCCTCCCAGCCCTCTCCCGGGCCCTCCCAGCCCTCTCCCGGGGCCCTCCCAGCCCTCTCCCGGGGCCCTCCCAGCCCTCTCCCGGGGCCCTCCCAGCCCTCTCCCGGGGCCCTCCCAGCCCTCTCCCAGCCCTCTCCCAGCCCCCTCCGGGGCCCTCCCAGCCCTCTCCTGGGCGTGCCCTCCAGGGCCCTCCCAGCTGGGAGGAGGAATGTGGCCGGGCCGGTGCGAGTTCCAGTTCCTGCCGCGCTGGCTGTCTGCAGGGCTTCCCGGGGCAGGGGGCCGGCACCTCCGCTGGGTTGCTCTGCTTGGACAGGAGCGAGGCCGTGACGCAAGAGAGGTCAGTTGGGCTGGGCCAGCGGCCGCGCTGGACGGCGGGCGTGAGGATGGCTCCTGGCTGTGGTGGCTCCTGCTGTGATGACCTTGGGGAGGTGGGCTGCTGGGAGCTGGGCCCGTTTTCCTCTCTACTTACCATGCGGCCCTGGGAATTGTTTTCTCCATTGACTCCTTTAGTTTCTTATTTATTTAATGTCATTTCACTTAGTATTCTATAAGCATAGCCTATATTGTGTCATGTGCTAGACGAAGAGGGCCCTTTGGGATGGGGGTCTGGTGGAGGTGCGGGCCCCTGGCATGTGCAGTCTCACTGGCTGGCTGAGTGCTGTACCCCCGCTGATGGGGGCCTCCTGTGTCCTCACAAAGAGTAACTGACCTGGATTGCCACATGACCAAACACACAGGCTCTACCTGGAGCTGCGGCACTAGGCTTTCGTAGGGGTGTCGAACTCAATCAGAGAAGGGGCCAAAATCTAAAATCCAGCCTAAATCTCGGGCCGAATGGTTTACTGAACAGTCATAAACTGTCATTGTGATGGAAACGCAGCGGAGTGCAGTGATGACAGCGCGGTGCGGGCCACATTGCAAGGCCTGGCGGGACGGATTTGGCCCGCGGGCCTTGTGTTTGACACATGTGCTCTATGGCTTTGAAGCAAGTAGCATCTTCTGAGTCATTCCTGCACTCGCGGTGAGACATTTTGATGGTATATTCATTTATCTAGCTAACAAGTGCACTGGCCAGGTGCTGCTGGCAGCGCCGAGGACAGCAGGGCTTCTCAGGCAAACCGGCCCTCTGACGCCCCGGTGCTGTGAGCCCCCGGCTCGAGGCGGCACTGGGGGCCTCGCTGCACACACGGGGAGCTCAGTGCATATGGACTGTGCCCTGGGAGCGGGCCCCTGGCTGCTCACAGCCGGACTCGGCTCCGCGCCCGCAGTGGACGGAGAACAGGGGAGCTTGGCAGGGGCACAGTGCCTGGGTTCCCCAAAGAGCGGCAGGTGTTGAGCTGGACTGGAGGCTGGGGTCGGCAGATGGGAAACCTGGATGCCGCAGGGGGAGGTGGTGCAAGCCCGGAGGCAGAGGAGGTGCTGTGGAGAGAACATCTCGTTCTCAAGGTGGCAAAGTGGACAACTGCAGTGAAGCTACACAGCCTTGGGGGCACGGAGGTGCAGAGATCACGATAACGATGCCACATGACAGACGCGCCTCGAACGTGCCACTTTCAAGGACAAAGTCATGGGGGCACTGTGACTCCCTGGCAGGCCAGACCTCGGCCCATCGGCTGCTGTCCTCAGGTGTCGGCTTGTCTTCCTCTTTTGAGGCTTATGTGGCCTGGCAGGGTCTGCCCTGCTGGCCCGCGGGCCCAGAAGCGCGGCCGCAGCCTCCTGCCTAAGGCACCCGGGAGCGGTGAGGGTCCTGGTGCCAGTGATCCCACCTAGGGCCCCTCCCTCCCCTGGTTGCCTCACACCTTCGGACGTGCATCGTCCCCCTTTTCATGCATGTGGCAAAGCAGGGATAATGGAGGCAGGTTTCCGTTCCTGCCTCTTCTAGAAAGGACGTGGAGGAGGCTGTGAGTTAAAAGTAGGGCACAGTCAAAACTGGATCAGAGACAACGTGAAGCCGAGTGCAGGAATGAATCAGCCGTCCCCACCCACAGCCTCACTCCACGGTTTCAGTCACCACGACCAGCCGCAGCCTGGAGGTACTAAATGAAAAGTTCCAGAAATAGTTGTGATTGTGCTCGGCTCTGAGAAATCATGCATCATCCTCTCGCCCTGCCCGGAGGTGTGTCAGGCCACAGACCCCGTCTCCGCGCTGCGGACCCCGCTGCCGGTCACTTCGCAGTGTCAGCGCATGGCTCAGCTCACCCTACTTCGCCCGAAGCACAGGAGTGTGGTGCTGGCATCGGAGATGCCAACGGGAGCCCCGAGGGAGAAGTGTGTGTATAAAGAAAAGCACTTAATCAAGAGGTTTGCTGCTGTCCCGGGCTCCAGGCACCCACCGGGGTAAGGAAGAGCCACTGTACTGGACATTTATAAAGTCGCCACGTGGGGCTGCATACGTGGATGACCTGGTGGCCCCGGGCGGCACCTTGGCACTGAGGTGTACCGGACTGCACTGGAGAAGCAGCTCTGCGTGCGCAGGGCATGCCGCGTCTAGCCCCGACATGAGTCTAGCCTGATGCCCGGCTGATAGCACCATGCCCTCTCCGCTTGCGCAGGCAGTGGAGCCGGCACCCGGCGGGCAAGGCTGTCCGGGTTTCCAGGGGGAAGAGCAGCACTGGGCAGTGAGCATTCCTGGTGCAGAGGCAGGGCGTTCCCGAGGTCCCGCTGATGAGCGAGATGGAGGCTGTCTCTTGCGGTGACTGCGGGAAGAGGGATCAGGCGCTGGGGTCAGGGGGTGGGTGGAGGCACCTGGTCCACACACCAGGCTGTTCGCCCCCGGGGCTCACGGAGCTGCAGGGCAGCAGGGCAGCCCGGTGCACCCTGTTCGCAGCCAGAACCCCTCACTGAAATGTCTTAAAATGCCCTTTACAAATTCTGAAGTAGTACAATAAATCTTACCTACAACACAATTTCCAACTAATCATTTTGGTAGCCAGAGGTACAGGTAACCTGTATGAAATTGCGCATTCTGGTGTGTGGATGTTTGGGCAGAGCCACTGGCACTAATGAGACCAGCCAGCGCCTCTGTGGACGGACCGGGCCGGCACAGGGCAGCTGCCGCTGCGGCCGAGCAGACGAGTCCTGGGTCCAGGGGCCACAGAGCCGTGGGCGACTCTCGCCAAGGTCTCACTGGTAGTCTGAGGCCGGTCTCTCAGTGGTCCCAGTGAGTGTGTATGACATGTGTGCCAACAACACACACGTGCTTTACATTAGTGTGGGAGGCGGTAGGTGCTGGGCTCAGAAATGAAAAGTGACACTTTCCGTTGGCACGAATGGCTGTGTGACGCCTGGCAGCCATGCAGGGTGAGGGCACGTCTTTCTTGGGCAGAACTGTCTTCCATTGTTCTGGAAACGTAGCACCCCGGCTGCCAGTGCTGCAGGCGTTACCGGGAGCACCCCAGCAAGCTTCCCACCGCTCCCCTGCTCCCTCGGGCACACTGCCCTGGAGAACCATGCTGGGCCTGGACGCGGGAGGGGGTGCAGCAGACGGTGCACCCGCCCGGGGAGCTAACTGTCCATGGAGCTGGAGAGTGTCGGAACAAACTGGAACACTGCGGCCGTGTGCAGGGCCCACGCTGAGGAACACAGGGGACTTGGCGGGTGGAAGTGGTTTATATCCTGAAAGGATATGCCTGGTGGATGCAGTTGTCCCAGTTCCTGGCATTGCACACTTAAGATTTGCTGTGTGTTTACTATACGCATATTTTACCTCAATGGCAAACCCACAGAAATGAAAGCGATGACATTGTTTTGGAGAAAGCTGATCCTCTGAGACTGTACCTGCAGACCCTTCCCCGGCCTGGTGGAGGCCGTGCGGGGACGGCTCAGGGTCAGCTTTGTGACCAGCCCACGGCAGGACTGTCCCAGCCTTTGCTGGCGCGGGCCGGAGCTGCGCTGGAGGCTGGGAGACACCGAGGGCAGGCAGAGCATCTGTGAAGGGTGGGAGAAACTAGACCAGAACCTCTTGTCTCTGGTCTGGTTCCTGTGGTCCAGGAGCCCTAGGAGGTTTGAAGGGGCAAAATGGGGAGCTTGTGGAACTGCATCCCCGGGCTAGGAGGCTTGGCAAGCCCACTCCTTCTGCAGCCTCCGGCGACCGCAGCCACCTCCCTGTGCTTACTGTCCCCACGCCCTTCAGCCCATGGGA